CGCAGCGGGCGCCGGCGTGGGGCTTGCGCACGTGGGAGGGCGCTGGTGTGGCCGGCCGTCGTCGCTGTCGCTGTGGCCTCTTCAGCGAGACCGGCGTTTGACTCCCAGGGACCAGACGCCGCCGTCTGCCTTCCCCCCCAGGTCGAAGGACCCGGCGCCCGCCGCTCCTGGCCTCTCGGCGTGCCCATGATCTCCCGGTGCCTTTCGGCGGTGCAAGGCCTCCACAGGTACTCACGCGCGGGTAACCTTGACCGCGGGCGGGGCGGGTCTCCCGCGCAGGCCTTGCTCGGCTCCCGGGCGCAGCCTTCCTGCGCCCGCCGCGCCCCTCGGGCCCACCCTCCCCGCGGCGCGCACGCTGGGCCGCTGGGGACACCTGAACGGCCACCTGGGGCCACCTTTGCCTCCTCGGTTCCCTCGGGAGGGCGTTCATTCTCCTTTGTTTGGGACTGCCTCAGTTGCAGTCGACAAGACCGGTCTGGCAGACCCAAACCAAATAATGCAGAACGAAGAGCTGGGCTTGAAAATGCTCCCGCCCCCCTCATCCGACACTGCAGACCTGGCATTAGAAGTGCCGCAGCTCTGAACCCAAGCATAACAATTCTCGTTTGTTCATCGTGCACCACATTAGTATTCTAATCCTTTCTTATATGTACATGAAACCACCTTGCCTTTGCCGTTTACTTCCGCCCATGCTTTCGAATTTCCTTAATTTTTTTTTTTTTTTTTTTTTTTTTTAATACTCTGCTTCTTGTCCCGGCAAATTGACTTGGCTCACTATTATTCTTTGGACACAGCTTTGGGCAGCCGTGGCTGCTGTTTTGGATTGCTTCCTAGCTTTCTAACCACACCCCTCTGCAACAGACCAGTAGCAAGATGGTGAGAAAATTGAATTCTTTGCAGAGATGCTCTGATTTTTAGGAAACAATGCCGCCGCCACCCCATTCCCAAATCTATCCACAGCTGTAAATCCAAAGATTAAATAGAAAAAAGGAAAGGTTTGTTTCCTGCTAGATACTTACAAAACTACTTTGGAATATACAGTGTCAGCATTTAAGCTTTCACAGCTTGCCATTGTACAGAGCCACTGGTCTGTGGGGAGCTTTGTGTTACTGAATCTTTGTACTTCCTGCGCATCCAGAACAATGGTCATTATAGAGTTAATGTATGACTGTAACTATATTTTAGGCTGCCATTTTTCATTTTTTGCCATTCTCCAAGCCAGAAGTGGTATAGTTTTCAACGAAGCTATGCCAACAGATGAAGGCATTCACATGATGCAGGTGTGAGAAAAGAGACCAAATTTTCTATTAAAACAGCAGTTCTTTAACTTTTTTAGTCTCAGGACTTAAGAACTTCTGTGCATATGGGTTATGTGTGTCTGTATTTACCAGAAATTAAAATAGAACGTCTTTAGAAACTGTTTCTAAAACAATACTTCATACATTAATCAATATGTTGTTGATCCATTCATCAATGGACATAGGCTGCTTCTGCCTTTTGACTCTTCCCAATACTGCTGTGATTATTTGAGTGCAAATACCTGAATCTCTGCTTTTTTTTTTCTTTGTGAGCTATGTCTAGAAGTGGAAATTGCTGGATCATTTATTAATGCTATGTCTGATATCTTGAAAAAGCGCCATACTGTTTTGAACTCTGGCTGTACCATTTTTACATTCTCATCAGCAGTGCGTTGGCTGGCTTCCAGTTTTGTCCAATACTGTTTTACATTTTTGCAAAACTAATAAATGTACGACTTAATACAGGATATCCTGCTTCTTACATCTGCTTCTGTATCTAATCTATTGCTGTATTTTGTTTTGCTTTTAGAAGAGCAAGAGCCAAGTATGGTGGTGCATACCTATCATCCGAGCTCTCTGGTAGACCACGAGAGGAGTATTACAAATTCAAGCCCAGCCTAGGGAACAAGAATTTAACAAGACTGTGTCTCAAAGTATTTATAAAAGGTTAGGGATATAACTCATTGTGAAAACCTTGTGTTTAATCCCCAGTATGGAAAAAAAATGTAGAAATCCTGCCTTATGCTTACATATGGAGAAAGTATCTTTTTTAAGCTATTTATTTATTTATTTATTTATTTATTTGATACAGGGTCTCGCTACACAGCTCAGACTTACAGTGATCCTCCTGTCTCAGCCTCCCCAGCACTGGGATTACAGGTGTGCCCCGCCACACCCAGCCTTGATAGCTAGCTTGGCAAAGTGCCCAAACATCATACAATACCAGTGATCAAATCCAGGTCTTTGCGCTTGCCAGGCAGGCACTTACATTGCCGAGCTGTGTTCTCAGCCCTTCAGTAGCTTCTACAAATAAAGTCACAGATACTCTTTAATATCACAGCATATTCAGCCAATTATAGTTTTCTAAAGTTTATTTATTTATTTATTTATTTTTTGCAGAACCAGGGATTGAACACAAGTCCTTGCTCTTGCCCAGCAAGCAGTTATCCCACTGAGCTATCTCCCTGGCTCTAAAGTTTATTTGCAAAGTAGAATCTGATGCCATAAACTCAATTGATACAGCTTATGTTTTGAGTAGATCTCCTATTCATACATGATTTTAAATTTAAATCACTTAGAAATGAGTGGTTCAGTATGTTATATAGGCCCATATAGACCTTCCTAATGTTGACATATTTCATTATTCAATATCAAACAGTCCCATTCTTGGATGTCCTCATATGTCTTAGAGGAGTCTCTAAGTATTTGCTGTCATAGTCACTGTGGAATAGTATTTTCCAAAATTCTGATTTTCACTTGAAAGCTGGCATTTTATCATTAGTAACACCTACTGTCAGTTTTTTATTTTCCCAGAAGTGAGCTTTACTTGTTATATTTTTTACAGAATTTTGTCAGATACCTAAATCAAGATAATTATGATTTGCGTGTCAATTGTTTGATCTAGTAAAGTTGGTATTACGTGAAGAAAAAAAAGGCAAATTATTCAATCACACAAGTCCTCTGAATTTCAATAGCCATATCTTTTGAGCAACCACTGAATTCAGCTTACGCAGCACAAGTGGTCACAAAGATACACTAAAGGGTTGAGATTTAATAAAATTCACAATTTTTTCATAGTGCTGGAGATTGAACCCCAGGGTCTTGCTCACGCTAGGCAAGTACCATACTACTAAACTATATCCTCATCCCCCTTTTTTTTTTTCAATTTTGAGGCAGAATCTCACTAAATCTCTTAAGCTGGGCTCAAAATTGAATTTCTCCTGCCTCAGCCTCCCAAGTAGCTATGATTGCAGATGTGTATCGTGTCTGGCCCCATTGGACTTCTCAAGTTTCTTATTTTGTAAAGTGAAAAAGACTAGACTAAATTATATATAAGGTTTTTTCCCCTAATTTTATGCTGCCATAGGAATTAAACCGGAAGAATTTCTCTTCTGCCTCATCTAGATTGTGCAGCAGGTGACTTAAGCAAAATTTAATGTCTTATACAGAATGGATGACATGGTCACAGAAACAATAAGGGCTGTTCAACCGTGTTAGGTCACATATAGTTGTAATAGCCCTAATTTTCTCTATCAATAAAAGAAGCTTGGTTTTAAAGTTACAGTTATACATATTCTGTATAGAAAACAAAAAGTAATGACACAAAAAAGAAAATGTGAAAAATACGCACATACAACCTACATATCCAGAAATACCAATTGTTTAGAGCCTTCAAAAATCTCTTCCAGGGCTGGAGAGGTAGCTCAGTGGTCTAAGCTCCTGCCTGACAAGCACAAGGACCTGGATTTGATCCCCGGTACTGCATGCTGAGCCTTCCCTGCACATTGCGGGCCACCAAAACCAGGCATGGTGGCACACGCCTGTAATCCCAGTGTTGGGGAGGCTGAGACAGGAGGATCACCATGAGTCCAAGCTGCTTCGTGAGACCCTGTACCAAATAAATAAATAAATAGTTTAAAATTTTTCTTTAAGGGCCAGGAAGATGGCTCAGTGGGATAGGTGCTTCCCTGGCAAGCACAAGGGTCTGGGTTCAATCCCTGGTTCTGCAGGAAAAAAAAAAATTTTTTTTTTTCTTTAAAACCTCTTCCAGGGGCTGGAGAGATGGCTCAGTGGTCTAAAGCACCTACTTGGAACAAGCTTGGCAAAGCACAGGGACCGC